GAAGGCAAAAGGAATGGACAGAGAAAGCATTCAGCTCTCCTGTGCCCGTGGACACTTAATAATTAACTGATGGTCTTGATGGCACATAGCAATGACCAGGTGTAGAACTGCCCTTCCCTGCCCCTGGACGTCCCTGAGCTTTAGGAGTGCAGTGCAGACAGCTTCCAGCAACAGAACACGTGATGCGTAGGCAGCTGAACTGAACTTGAGCAAGGATGCGCACGGTTGTCTACAGTCCTGGAAACACAATTCTGGAGACTCCACAGGTATATTCCCTCGGCTTTGCACTGACTCAGCCCATGTGTCACACTTCCAGAATGGGACTTCTCTGAAGTGTCCATTCTATTTCCTGGACACTGGGACTCCACGGTAGCACCTGTGCCTTCTTTTGTTCTCTACACTGTTTCTCCCCAAAGAAAACTATGTGTCCAGAGCTCACGTGGGGCTCCCAGAAACAAGGTGCCTAGAAACACCTGAGAAGCCGGCAGCTGGTGGGGGGTCTCAGGAACCTGCAGACACTGGCCAATGGGCTCTACCCAGCCAGGACTAGTGAGGACTAGTGTTCTTCAGCAACTCCCAGCCTTCAGTGATGGGCTCTAACTACACAATCTTCAGGGATATCAACAAATGCTCAAAGATTATTTTTCCCCACAACTGTTGAATTGGGCCTAAGAAGGCTGAACTAAGAAAGATTATCTACCAGTGGGAGTTATCACCGCAAAAAACATGTATCAAACTGAAGCATTTTTGAAAGGTTACTTGCTGTGAAAATGTATTTAACCAACCTATATGCGTATAGGAAGTCTATTAACATTGCCAACTTTAATTACAGAGATGAAATATATAGATAATACATTAAAATGCTATTATGCACCATTCAGTTCCTTTGCATACTTTAAGAAGAAAAATGTGGATCATATGGCAAATTAGCCAAAGTACAATATGGAAATTTAAATCCACAGAGGCTGAATATCTAATGTAAAGTCATAATAAAACCTGATCTTCTATGGAGTAAACAATTTGCTTATCCCTGAAAAACTCTTTTGACTTCTGGATTTAAATTCACACATCAATTTTCATTTGATGATTTTGCTTTCAGTTGTTCAAGAGTTTGCAGAAGAGTACCCCTGTGTACCTCAGTAGTTTTCTATGTCAATTATCTTGCAAAATTCAAAATAAATCTCTTCAGCCCCATTGGAATTATGCAGGAGGTTAAAACCCATTGTTTGACCCTCCAAGCAATAATATACAATTTCAGGAGGGAAAGAGTACCTCTTTGGAAAAAATAATTCAAAAATTTTAGGATGTGATTGAAAAATAAAAAAAGCAAAAGGTTTTTCAAAGTTTTAAATTGCCAAGTTCCCAGCCGAGGTATTGGTTTTCTGCAAGCCCACAATTTTGCTGATGGTATATTTTTAGTGGCACAGTGTAAGAAAGAGTTCCCCAATTCTCATTCATAGAGTGTTACATGGACACAGGAAAGGTTTTCCTTTGCCTTTCTGTCTCTCATTACTTACACTGTGTTTAAAACTAAACGCAGTAAATGCAAAATATAAAAATAAACAGTGGTCCCTGCATTGAGGCAATATGGATGAGAAAAGTGTAAATACATGAGAGAAATGTAAACCCGAAGGTTTTCACAGAACCATTAATTCCCTTGACACATATTGGAAATATTTTGAATTACCAGTTAAGCTTTTAAATATACATTTTCTTAACAAGAGAGAAGAGGTTGGGTGTATTCATGTTTTGATAATCACCTTAACTTCTCTCTTTTCCAAATTATGTTATTTGGATCCAAACTGAAAACTGCATCAGTATCGATCGTTATAGTTAATGAAAAATAGCTCACTGTTATCATTTCATAACTAACAGGGTTTGGATAATAAAATTTTGTGTAAGTGTATTCTGCTGCCCAAGAGCTTTACTAGTCAAAGGACTGTAAAAATCTTCTGATGTTGATAATACTCTCTTTCTAGAGGGCTTGGATGGCTGCCTACTTCACCTCCAAAGGATATGGTATAAAGGGTATCAGATAAAGTCTACCAGTCCCTGAGTCTCTTAAGAAGGAGCCATCAGAGATTCTAGGAACGACATCCTCAAACAGGATACCCTCAGGCTTGATTTCTAAGCTGAGGGCAGACATGCAACTTTGGACTTTGAAACTGCATCTAGAAAAGAATGTGAGGGATAGGCAAGGCGCTGAGCAAGGGTGTACGGCATGGAATGAGAATGGGGCAAAGGGAGGTGGCAACCCCAGGCTGAAGGAGACTCAGTTGACCACATCATCTTTGACAAGGGTGGGAGGGAGTACTTCTGTCTTCACTCTACCTTGGGATTCCTGTTTTCTTACAGAAGTCAACAGCCTTCCTGAATTTTTCATCGAGATATGGGCCTATCCATATCGAAGAGGTCAAGCCACAAATACAAGACTTGCCTACCCCTACCCTTTGCCCATGCACTTTTAACCTCTCTCCCCTCCAGCTTAATGAAAAATCACATAGAATAAAGTAAAAGAGAGCTGCAGGAACAATTTCTTCCATTTTATTTGGAAGACAGAATGTCATTGCTGGTTTTCCATGGGTGATCGGTAGCATATGAAGGAAAGGTTTCAGAGACAGGTTGAAGGCTGGCTTTTGTTCTCTTTCCATTTCAGTGCCCATGGTCCATTAATCCCTGCTCGGGAGGGCCTCAAAAAAAAGTATTAATAAGGTAGGGCTCCTCATAGGGGTTGTTATATTTTAAGGGCACAAACCATGTCCTCAAATCCTTTGACATCCTTGATTGGCACATTTCTAGCTTTACCACCACCCACCCGCCCACAAACACACATGCGCATATACATACATACATATATACACATACACTTCTCGAGAGAACTTACTAAAAGACATCATTCTGGGGGCAGAATGTAGGATCCTTGCCACACCAAGATGGGACATAGCAACTGGAACCAGCTTTAGGCTGTCTTTCTGTGGATGTCACACTACTCCTCCAGCCCCCACCAAACACACCTTCTGACCCCTTGCCCATCTTAACTGCCTGTAGTCAAGTTCTCTCTTTCAGACACAATCACACCCGATATCAGTTCTTGGGACATTCTAGACACTTGTCTACACCTTAAACATTTCTTTGGGGTGATGACTCATTCCTTGAAATGGTCTAAGACCAAAAGAAACAAAACGAAGCAAAAACCATCCATGATAATAACTGCTTTCCACAATGAGATGGGAGGATGGGAATGGCTGGTGGGAAGTCCACCATTGTGCCTTTCTTTTCAATTAGACTGTACAATAAATGTGAAGACAATGTAGCCTCTGCATCTGTCACTCCAGTCAATGCCAGGATTGATTCAGTTGATCTGCCTGCTCTCACCACTCTTTGGACGCTACAAGCTACATTAAAGAAGACAAGCTTCCCTGAGAGAGGAAATGTTAGTCTATAATTAAAGATGTATGAGTAGGGCACCTGCCTTATCATAAACCTCAATTAATTTGGAAATGCGAGGCAGAACAATCTCACTTCTCTGTCTGCCTTCTCACACATCTAGACACAGATTTAACCTCCATGTACCCTTCGAGGACTCTTTTCTTGACCATATAGTTTAAATAAAGTAGTTTGTGTCTACACAGGTCATCTAGCAAGCCAGTTATTCATGGGAACACCAATGGAGGAAGAAATAGAAGACTTAGATTCTGAAATTTTTATCAGAGATTTTCCGGGGAAGAGTTTCAAAGCCAAATATTCAGGTGATGGAAATTTTTATATATCTAAAATGTGCTCAGTTTCTCCCAATCCGATACACAAAACTAAATAGCATGTCATGTTGGTACCAGAGGAATCAATAAGAATTTAGACCAAGACTTAGACTGGTTTTATGTAGTGTTTCACAAACGTGAAGCAATCCATGCCTTCTTGCACATATGGCCCATGAAATCAGTCCAGCCTCGGCCTGCTTGGTCTCAGGCTGCCCTCAAACCAAGTGATATATTTAGTTTTACCAATGAAAGATCTACCACAAGTGAAACAGGCATTTTCTATCTCCACTGGGGAAATTCATTCATTTCTTCCGCAACTATTACTAAGCATTAACTATCTGAATGCATTTTTCTAAGTGCTAAGAAGACATCAGTGAACAAAAAACCACCAAACAGAACCCCTGCCTGCCCTTGGAGCCCTTACTTTTGAGGGAGATTCTACAATACAAGTCCCTAGAATTTTAGAAAGAACGTGCTCATTTTCTTGAAGCCTCAAATTTCTCAGTAGGAGAAGGGATGCCGACAGTGACATTCTGAGCTAGGCTGCAGAGAAGAGCAAGTATGTATTGACGTGCCCTTCGTTGTAAGAGGTGAGGAAGCCAAATGCTGACTTTCTCCCCCCGGGAAAAGAGAGAAGAGGGATTGGTAGCAGCAAGGAGCCTGGCAATTCAGTCATTCCACAGACATGGATGGAGCAACTATTATAAGATATTCTGCTTTAGTAGTTGAATAACCCCCCCCTTTTTTTTTAAAGATTTTATTTATTTATTTGACAGAAAGAGACACAGCAAAAGAGGGAACAGAAGCAGGTGACATGGGAGAGGGAGAAGCAGGCTTCCTGCCAGGCAGGGACCCCGATGCAGGACTTGATCCCACAACCCTGGGATCATGACCTGAGCCAAAGGCAGGTGCTTAATGACTGAGCCACCCAGGCACCCCTGAATTACCCCTTTCTAAGACAACCCAGTGCCCGCACCGGATACTGTCTCTCATCTGTAAAAGTCACTCCATATCCAGGCACGTTCCCAAGGCGAACAGTTGGGCAATGGTGGTACAGAAACAATCACAACTTTTACTTCACCAGAGGTGGAGACAGTTCCCACAAATAGGACATTTACTTATTCACAGGAGGAATGACCATGGTGCAGTGGGTTTTACAGAGCTGTGTCTATGGCACCAAGTCCCTTTGTGTCAGGATAACATCAGCAATGACCCAAGAGGCTAAAGCCATGGCGCTCTTACCATGACGGAGATGTGAAGGATCCTCAGCTCTTCTTCTGCTGACTCATGCTGGGGTTCTTCCGTTGGGTCTTGTCCAGGGAGACTGGGGGCACCATCTTGGTGATGAATGTGAAAAAGCAAAGTGCCGTTCTCCAGCCATTGCTGTCTCCAGCGCACCAGAGGGATGTCCTCTGTGTTCCCTGAGATCTCTAGGGGACAAACACCAAAGGCACGGGTCAGAATTCTGACTGGACCAATCTGAATCTTATTCCTCTTCCTCCTCATCAATGGTACCAATTAGCCAGCATCAGTTAAAGACAACAAAGGGTTCCGGCTTGAGTTAAGTCCGCTACCTCAAATCTCCAGGAAGGGAAGGAGCCCTGAGAAAAACAGAATGCTCCCCCATAGGTCTTTGCACCGTAATCTAGTGAGCCAGGCTCTCACCCATTGAGAAAAATACCAAGGTGAAAATTCATGTTCTTCCCCATATTTCTGGGATCAATAGCATCCTTTACCCAGCACAGTTTGAATCTCCTGATAAACCCCTGAGGTAAATACAAGGTTGTTTGCCTCTTGTAAATTTGAAAATCTGATTCCCTAGCAATTATTCCTAGACACCAGTGAATCTACCAAGGAGAGAGTTGGTAATTACTGTGCAGAGAACTGGCATGTCTGGAACAGTCCTGAGAGGTTACTGCAGAGCCACTGGGGCTCACAGGATATTTCTAAAACCACAATCACTTGCTGCATAGCCCACTGGTGGTGTGGGATACGTGCTATGTCCGGTAATGTTTTAATTCCCTTTAATTTTTCTCTCGTCTTTGCAGAGAGGTTGCACACGTCGAGAAGGTAGTGAAGAAGTGAGGCCTCGTCATGGACGGAAGCGCTCACCCGCTCTCAGGGCTCTACATCGAGGCAGCAGACGAACATCAACGACGAGTAACAAAACACCAAAACCCTACTAGGCACACCACACTGTAGGTGCTAAGCTACAGTTACAGAAGTACACCAAGATTACGGGTCAATCTTGCTAATATTCCCGAACAATATCGTATGGAAGCTTTGAGACATCCCACAGTAGAGAGACCTGATTAACCTAGCCTTTCCTAAACTTCATTTGGCCTCCAAATCCCTTCTCCCTTAACAACTGTGACCACCCGGGGGAACAGATATTCTGCTGAGCACACGTTGGCAATGCACGGCTTTATAAAACTTCATTTTTTAAAAGGCATGGCTTCTTCTCTTAAAATTTATCACCTTTGACCAAAAAAAAAAAAAAATTCCATGGGCATAAAAAAGATTTAATAAGACACATTTAGAATAGTATTCTCATCAAGTACCACACCATAAAGAGGGAAGCAATTTTAAATATTTATGGAGTTTATAAATATCTTTCACTATTTGTAGGAGGGCACAAATGATGTGCTTTATTTATTTACTTATATATTTATTCATTAATTTACTTACCAGATATCCACTGGGCATGTATTATGCACCAGGCACTGTTCTAGGCACTGTAATACTAACCTAAATTAGTATTAGTACTAATACTAATCTAAATGAGTCCCTCAACAAGCCCTCCAGAGCAACCAACTCTGAATGCGAACGTGGCAGGTGTTACACCGTGTGCATAATGACATCATGTGGAAACGTAGAGGGAGAGAGTAGGCTTGCCTGGGTTGAGGGTAGAAGAGGGGGAGAAAAGTAACCTTTCAGAAGAAGATACTGGCGTTGGACCTTGAAGGCTGAGTGGACTTCCTTTTAACAGGTAGAGAAGGGGAAAGAGGACTTTCAGACACTGATAGGATAATTAGAGGGAGGAGGAAGAAAAAAGAGTACGGTCTGGTCCTCTCAGGGTAGGTCAGTGAGAAGAAATCATACAAGCCACAGGTCACTCGCCTGTCCTGGAACACACGGATGGTATTCCCTACCTCCTCCTAACAACCCCCAGACCAGGGAGAAGAGTATAAGGGCATGTGAGGGACAATGAGGAGACAGCACAGACAAGATGATCAGGGCTCACCTCCATCCTCAGCCCCTCACCCCATTGCCTGGAACACTCCATCGTCCCATGAGGACGGTAGGCTGCCCATGCTCTGGGAAGTAACCAGCACAAGCAGCCAGGAGGCTGCAGTGGGCAGAGGGTATGACAACAGAGGCTCACCTGCATCTGGGTCTTGGTTTTCTATGGGCACAATTCCGTTTGTTGAGTGAGGCAGTGAGTGACACAAGCCTCCCGAGTTCACTGCAGCTCTAAGGAGGCCTTCCAGATTTCCAGGTGAAGAGAGACCCTGGCGCGCGCCTCCCAGCAGTAGCCCTGCGACACATCACTGAAGGCCCCCCATCACAAGCCCCTCCCCGACCACCAGTCAAGCCTTCACCTCACAACACCAGGGCAATTCCTCCTGAGAAACACACCCCTCCTCCAAGTCCCTTTCCGGCCACGGAGGTAGGAACCAAACAGTTTCCTCACCATGGACAACAATCACAACCATTAACAGCTGCTAACAGAGCACCTAACGCCATCATTAAATCACCCAGAGCAACACACGCGCAGACCCTACCCACACCTGCTCTTAGCCAGCCCGGGATTAATTCCACACACATTGGGCGCCACTTCCGCCCTTTCTATAACTCTTCAGAAGGAATCTAGCACTTCACAACTCTAAAGTTCTTAAGCCGATTTTTTTTAATTTCCCAGGAGACCCTCATCAGAAAGGCGAGGCTCATTCTTTCCATTTTAACTGTGGAAGCAAGGACAAGCAAACACCCAGACCAAGGTCATGGCAGCCTGAATCAAAACAGGAGATAAAACTTACCAGATCCCCTCTGCGCCCAACACACAGAGGATGACATGACCTTTGCACAAGCACAGAGAAGAGAAAGCACTTGAGGACAGAGTCCATGTGTCTTCTAGGAATTTTCATGCTGCGATATTTTAATTTGTTGTGCAAAGTCTTAGTGTTCCATGACTTTTTAAATTGAGATCGAATTCACATACCATAAAATTCACCCTTTCAAAGTATATTATATGTATATTCACGAGGTTCTGCAACCGTTACCCCTCTAATTCCAGAACATCTTCACAGCCCAAAGAGAAACCCATGCCTATCAGCAGTCCAAGCCAATTTCTGAAGAGGAAGGCATTCTGTTTTGGGGTCCTAGGAGCGATGGTACCAAGGAAAAGAACAGGTATGGTGGGGTTATTGAAAAATGCTCCCACAGGGAGGTGAGCTGAGAGCACAGAATCTCTGACCTAGGCTTCCTTTTGAATCTCTTTGTGAGTTATTCATGCCCATCCTCACGGACAGTGATATCCTGGTTCAGCCTAGACCAGACTCATTGTAGAGGATAAAGGGCAAAGGAAGTAAGGCACCATGCCTGTCCATGAGGGCACCTGTCATTTTTAAAACTCAAGATAATTACAGAATGATAGCTTCCTCCTTGGCTTTTTCCCTTTTCCTGGCAGGATCTGACACGGGAGGGCTAAAACACGAAACCAGGAACTTATTTACATATGCAATACCTGCCCTAGGTCAGCCAATGAAAAACCCAGGGTACAGTAAATGTTTTGTGAATTTCATCACCAATGGGGCTGAGATCAGAGCTTGAAACATAAGTGTAATCATGTTGGTCTGGATATTAGCAGAATATCTCAAGAAGAATGTCAGAAATTGCCCTACCAATGGAAGCCTTCCCCGAGATTCCCAAGAAGCACAGATGAGAAGTGACAGTTATTCTCGTACAAGGCTTCCTGAGGGCTATGGAAGAGGCTCAGACAGAACCTTTGCCACAGTGTGCTCATAAAACAACTGCCAACAGAATCCTTCACAGCCATGTCAAGATACCATGGGTGGGATGGGCACCACGGCCACCATCACACTGTGGGACCGAGATCTCTAGGAAGGGGAGGCTGTCCTTACTTTCAGCATGTCCATTCTTCCCCTACACAAGCTTCACATCTCTCAGCACCTCCCAAAATTCTGGACCTGCCTGGGACACACAGGAACCAGGATGCCATTTATTCTTACACGTAACGAAGATTTCTGGAGCACACTCTAATGGTGACATTCAAACTGTGCTATGTGATCCCTATTCCCAAGGAGCCTTTGATGGAGTAAGAGACTGAAGACATGGCCATGACTAAGTACTGGGAAGAGTAACAAGAGAGAGAGTGCCGAGTGACGGGGTGGCACCCAGCTGGACAGAAACCCATGCAAAGGCATAGAACGGGAAGAGATGCTGGAGGCCAACTCCAAATGAAGAAAACGATGTGTACAAAGAATTAGGATGATGCCTGCTGGCAGAAGGGTGGCATTTTTTCAGAGGAGTCGTGGCTAGAGATGTACACTGAGGTCAACTGTGAAAGGTGTAAACACCAGCTTAAGGAGTTCTGAGCTAACGGCAAGTCACCCATGGTATTAATAAGCAGAGAAGTGAATAAGGCCACGATTTAGAAAGATCAAGAAGATCCAGAAAGAAAGTAGCAGACCAACTGGACTCAATCCAATCTCTGGGTAATCCCGATCCTGTATTCTGCAGGGACCAAAACACGGAGCTGGAATTCAAGAGACCTGGTCTGGACTAACCTGAATGAGCTGCCTAGCTTTGGATGTTCTCATCTGTGTAAGAGGAAGCTGGATAGAAGAAGTTCAGGACCCTTCTGTAACTTGGCATTCCATGATTCTAAGTCTGTAACAGTGTGCTCCACATGACCACCTAGAAAGATGATCATTTCAATGTGCCAAACAATGTCCAATCTTTTTTCAGGTTGAACCCACACTCTACCTTCCCTTTTCCTCTGAACACAGAGTGGACAGGTTTGGGATATCTCATCAGAGCTTTTAGGAGCCAGACCCACTTCCTGACTGGACCTCAGGCTGGTGAGAAAAGTTCTCATTCTGGTGCAGATATGTGGTTTCTAAGGAAGAAATGTTGGAGCTTCTGTGCATAATAGGGAAGCAGGAAGATGGAACCTCAAGCAGAGACATACTAGAGAATAATCTGGGATGGGAAAAGGTCCAGAGGAGAGTGAGATAAAATCACTTTTAAATTAGTCTTAGTCATTGTTCCTTTTTTTTTTTTAAGATATATTTATTTTAAATAAAGAGAGAGAGAGTGCGCACATATGTACATGCTGGGGAGCAAGGGTAGAGGGAGAGAAAGAATCTGAAGCAGACTCCCCACTGACCATGGAGCCTGATGCAGG